GGAAAAAGGACGCTGCGCTAGGAGGAGACTCTATGGTGGGGGAACTGTCATAGAGTCCGGTCGGCTCTGGAATTGAATGGGGGACTTCCTGTTAGGACCTTTGTGGCTCTTTGAGTGTTTAAGGTTGCTGGCCCCCACGTTAGGGAAAGAAAACCCTAGACTCCATTTGCAGTGAAAGGTAGACTTTTACTAAAGGCAAATGGTTGCAGCATAAGCAAAGCCAGATCTGAATATTCCCACATAACCCCAGTGTTTTTCCCTTCTCCCGGATCACCCCCCATCCCCCGGTCATCTTGCTAATGTCCAACAATATTCCAGTTAGGTGTTTTGGTAACAGTTCCACGTTTTGGAGCCTCTTTGATGATTGTCTGCATTCTGTTCCCATGCTCGTGCCTTTGGATCTGTCAACTCATAAAAAATTTCTATGGTCTTTTTAGAGTTGCCCACAGAAAGGGATTTGAAAGAGCAGTCCAGAAGCTTGGAAATCAAAAGTGCATTCTATAAATAGTTTTTGAAGATAGTAACTAGGTGGCCGAAGTTTCTGCTACATAAAATTCTAACTGGAGAACTTGACTGATGACTCTGGGCTATGGAGGTATCCCATTGGAGAATATGAGTTATGATACACCCAGGGGGTGGGGGGAAAACCAGGGTCAAGGGTGACAATGAATTATGTGTCTCAGAGTCGGCTGCACCCAGGCAGTGCTGGCATGTTAACTCCCAATAAATCCTTTTGAAGTTTTTGAAGTTTGGCTCGAGACTCACGATTTCATTGGGATAACTGTCGGAATCCTGACATCATCGCTCAACCATTGACTCTCGGTGGCACTTCTGGTTCTTGTCATCCCCCTTCCCTATATCCCTCCCATCCCCTCCTTGTTTTATGTCGGGATGCCATCAAAGTGAAGCAGGGCTGAGACAGTACGATGACTTTGATTTCCCTCCACACACTTTTCCTTCTGCCTTTTCTTGCTTACCATCGTAGACAGCATGGCAGTACTGGGTGGTGGAGGCAAAGGGTTTGCAGGTCTCATCAAATTTGTTCCCGTAGTTCCCTAGGCTGACCTCAAACTGGATTGGTTCCGTGATATCAGCCAACATGGTAGCAGAGTAAAAAACAACGCATAGACCATATCGGAACTGAGGCAAGAAATGCTGAGAAGATAAAGAATTGTCATGGGTTATGTGAGAAAGGTGTATGTTAGACCAGATCTTCCCACGTAATTCTCCACTCTCACTTCTTACTTACTGGCTTACTTTCTTGGTTTTCCAGGTTTATAAGCTTGACTGAATTCCTACTTTCGTTCATTCAGCTTAAAACAGATTAATTGATTAGAGCTCAATTGCTAGAATTTCCACAATGAAACTCTAGTAAATTCTTAGGAAGAAAAAAAGATTTTTGGGGGGGCTTAATGTTATGTTTTTCCACTTTTCATCTTCCTGGGTTGTTTAATTTCAATGATTTAAAGATCAATATGTAAAGGTTCCCCTCACACATCCGTGCTAGTTGTTTCCGGCTCTAGGGAACGGTGCTCATCTCCGTTACAAAGCCGAAGAGCCAGCGCTGTCCAAAGACGTCTCCATGGTCATGTGCCCGGCATGACTAAACGCCTTCAAAGTCACACGGAACGCTGTTCCCTTCCCACCAAAGGGCTCCCTATTTTTCTACTTGCATTTTTTACACGCTTTCGAGCTGCCAGGTTGGCAGAAACTTGGACAAGGAACAGGAGCTCACTCCATTACGTGGCACTAGGGATTCGAACCACCGAACGGCCAACCTTTCTGATCAACAAGCTCAGCGTCTTAGCCACTGAGCCACCACATCCCTTAAAGATCAATACTACCCACCTAAGACTCTAGAAAAATTTCAAGGAAATTCGAAAGAGTTACTATTAAAATTCCTAAATACGTCCAATAACTATTAATGCCAATAGCCTAAGCAGAACAGAGCATATAATTAATGAGTAGAAGATTTTCACTAAAGAATCAACAGAATGGGGCCTGTTTGTGATTGTGTATGTCTCTGGAGGATCTCCAGATTTCTACACTGATTTCTCTACTTCCTTTAGTTCATGTAACAGCTTTTCTTGGCTGGGAATTATGGGTAACCATGAAGACTATAGAGGGAGGGACATACAGGTACTGTAACTAACAGGAACAACTTCCACCCATCCAATGATCAATCTCAAAAATATTACTAAGAACAATTTGAAGGACATTCATAAACCCTTTGAAAATAAGTTAAAAAACTACTTTGGAGAAAGTCCAGGGCATATTTCAGTTCCAGGAAATATTTTCTTGCAAAATAATTGTGGATCCATTTCATTGCCAGGTTACCTGCATCTTTTTAACAGTTTCTCCAGGGATGTCTTCAATTTTCTGAACTGGTATTGGTTCCCTGAGAGTTCGCAGCTCCATAAGAACTCTCCCACGATACGTGGTCCCTTCTTCCTGGAGAAGATGGTGGAGATATAGGGAGAATAGAATCACAAATAGTATAACGGAGTTGGAAGATACATTGGAGGTCTTCAAGTCCAACCCTCTGCTTAGGCAGGAAATCCTATACTATTTCAGACAAAGGGTTGTGCAATCTCCTTCTAAAAATCTTCAGTGTTGGAGCACCTACAACTTCTGCAGGCAAATTGATCCACTGATTAATTGTTCTAACTCTCAGGAAATCTATGCCACTCCATTATATTCCACTCCACTCCACTCCACTCTACTCTTTACTCTACTCTACTCTACTCTACTCTACTCTACTCTACTCTACTCTA